ACAGCAATCTTCATCTCCACATCACCCCTGACGTCGTTTTTTTATTGTAGGGTATTTACACCTTCAGTAATTTTATTTATTTGTACCATACCATCGCAAAAAAAATGCGTAAAAGGTGACTTGGTCGAACTGCCAGTTCCTGTTATTTTAAGTTGTTTTGTTTAGGTGTATAGGTAAAATTATTTTTATAAACTGTTATTTTTTAGAAATTTAATGTTTAATACTGTATTGTCAAATAATATATTTTCAACTGTTAAATGATCCCCCAGCCAGTAATAATAGTTCTTTTTTCAAAATCATTTTTATTCTAAAGACTAAAGATCGATTATAGACCGATTTGACGAAGACGATTTATTATATTTCTCTCAAATTTTTATAGTAGACAGAGAGCGCATGAGACAGCTACTGTTTCTTGTTCTTTCTGCTTCTTTGTGCCGTTTAGGGAATATCATAAGCTGCTGGTCAGCGAAATTCTAGGCTGAATGTCAGCGGCTGTGTTCCCTGAACGCACCCAATTATTAGTAACACAAAGCCATAGACCGCCAAAACAAACAACAACAAACGATCATCACATGTCAATTATGTCATATGTCAAGTCTATGTTGAGTTGGTCAGCACAAATTATTCGAGCTTCATGAAAATCGCAGCAGATGCTATTCAGCGTCTAGTCATCATGGCTGACAAACGCGGTCGCTTACTCAACTACTCAACTGTTGTCATCTGGTGAACGCACCCATTATCAAATGTAATTTGTTATGCTGTCTACACTACTACGTTATAGTACCTACGCTTAGTGTCCTTGAAATGAATTTTTGTAATTTAAAACTGGTTCAAAAAAGTAATGTTCAGAAAATCATAGGATGGCATCTTAGATACATTGGTATTTGCGTGGTTTTGCATTGTTAGCTGTTCATTTTCAATTAAAAAATAAATGCACTTTTTTAAATTATTTAAAATCGGCACGTTCAAAATTGTTCAAATTTGGCATATGTATTAGGGTGGATGGAAAAATCTAAAAAATAAAATTTCGGCCCAAAAACCACAACTGCAAAAAAACCTACTAGAGTAAAAGCGAAAACTATGGGCGAAACCAAGCGAAAACTATGGGCGAAACCAAGCGAAAACTAATGCCTGGAAAAGGCACTAGGAACTTTCACACACCGTCACTTAAATTTGACGCATTTGATTACACGGAAATGATAGATTGGAGCACTACAAAAATATCGCCACCACCTCTTCTCTGTGGGATTCACCTCTTCTCTGTGGGGCAACTTTTGCACCGTATAGCAAGCCGAAATTTCATTTTTGAGATTTTTTGATCCACCCTAAGGGCTCGAACACACTGAAGACCACACGAAGGGCTCGAACACACTGGTCGCACCGGCCAGGCCGCTGCTACCTCTAAAACCATTAAATCAAATGATACGGCGCACACTAACGTCCTGGCCGTCCGTTGGTCGTTGCGACCAGTAGACTGCACTAAAATATTATTATTTTCTGCCGCTTGTTGCCGATTTTCTTCCAAATTAATAATTTTTCAGATGAAATCACTCAAATTCAAAGCACAATATTTTATTCTCTATAAGATATAGTGTTTTAGTGTAGTTTTTGCACACGTGCAGAAATCCAAAGAAATAGTATACAGACTGGATCAAAGATAAACTTAAATCTAGTCCCTTTTTTATCAAGGGTCGATTCTAGTAAAAATTCAAAACATTTTTATATGACATATCTACTCTATTTATGGTTGGTATGATACCTGTTATTATACCTTTGAGTTTCGATGTTAAAAAAATTAAAAAAAAATCATATTTAAAGTTTTTCTGCAACCACTTGTTTTTTTTATTAAATTAGTTTTTTTAGTTGTATTGTAGTCATGTACAAGGAGGACAACTGTATTTTAAATATTATAATTAATTTAACGTTTTTCAAACAGGGTTCATTAGACTATATTTCTACTAGGTATATATTATTTTAAAAAAAAAATTAAGAGTAAAAGTAACTTAAACATTCATAAAAATGGAAGTAATTACTGTTGTAGATTCTCAGTAACAATAAAAAAGAGGAATTTATATTGTAAACATTGAAATAACTGGAAGCTAAACATTCTACCTGCTTATATTTAGAGCCAGTGTCTGACGACCTTTTTTTACGATGGCCCTAATATGTTTACTTCTAACACTTCTAAAGTCGATAAGAGCCATCAGTAGAAGTCCCATATCAGTAGAAAAAAACAAAATATCTCCCTTTTTGTCGGTCGCGCGTACACAATGCTTTTTGTTCGGCCTATTTGTTCTGCTTGTTCGTGCGCGCTCGGTTCGTTCGGGCTAAAATGCTCAAGTCCGGACGCACCTTTAGGAACATTACTGTTTTTGTCCTTTATTGATATAATGCTGAAAATCTCACGAGTTAGGTACATGTCTCACTCTACACATATTAAATTACATAGATGTAGAATATTCTGTTATGAAACGACTGATGGAATAGCAGGCATCGCGGATTTGAAAAACATGGAAATAACGACGTTATCGTGTTGTCGGGGTTGGAGATTTTACTTACTCCATTTACCACACCAGTATTTATTAACGAAAAATCCAAGAATATTTTAAATGCATTATTTAATATTAGAACATTTAATAAGCTCATGAATAGCAACTTCGCTTTTTAGTTAACTCGGAAATTTTAACATTTCTGAAAACAATATTTTCTAATTGGTAAAACGTAAAAAATCGTTAGATCTGACAACTCTGTTGAAACTGGTCGTTCATCTGGCCGCAGCTATAAACGCAATGCATCCGGCCAGCCGACGGCCAGGTCGTTGCGACCTGGTCGTCAGTGAGTTAGAGTCCTAATGTGTATTCAGCATACGCAGACCTACATGAAACATATTTACGATTTAACTGGTGATGTGTTTTTTTTCTGTTTAAGCAAAAATTTTAAATCAAATAGAAAGAACAATGAAAAGCTGGTTTGTGTCGAATCAAAATAACAGTCATGGTGGGTTCATGCTTCCGATCTTAGCCCTAACACTAACATTAGTCTTAATCCCAAGAATATGAATCAACGTTAACGAACGCTAGCGTTCATGCTCTCGTTGTATCGGCCCTAACATTAGCCTTAGTCCTAACAGGTTGGGATATTTTATATTCTTAGGGCTAATGCTAATTCAAAACTGAATCGCGCATGCTCAAAGCTAGGAGTCTTAAGAATTCTCGAAATAATTTCTGACATGTTGACTTTGACGGTTTATAAATGTAAATAAATTATATATTTTTTGGTCTAGAAATTATTAATGTAAAAATTAGTTTCTCTAGTATTAGAAATTTTAAAAATAATTGTGAATTTAGGTTAGTTCAAAACATATGTTTTATATGAGCGCAAACGCTTACGAGAATATTGATTATTTTCTTAAGACAAGTAGGAGAAGTATGAACGGCCTTTCCTTAAGTTCTCAAGGTTAATTTCTTAGGGTTAATGTTAAGGGTAAGGTTAGGGCTAATACTCGAAGTATGAACCCACCATCAGATTTTACAAAAACCAAATATTTTATTTTTCTGTTTTAGTGGCAAAAAAAAACAATTATTATTTCTAAAACAGCATTCTAAAAATATCTCGATCAATAGGAAAAATAAAACATATCTAGAACATACCAAAACAAACAACAGTATTTTAAACCTTTGTACCTATACCGGGTGGTGCATCGTCGTCGTCGTTGGAAACAGGAAATCCCATGCAAATTTTGAACTGTTCAAATATTAGCTCCTCTACTGATTTTACAGCGAAGTCGTAAATAGATAGACATGACAAATTTGGACAATTTTGGAAAAGCAAATTTTAAGTAATTTAAGAAAAACTGCATCTGTTTTTAAAATAAAACTGACGAGCTAACAATGCAAAACCATGCAAATGCCAACATACCTTAACTTGTCAACCTATGATTTCGTCGGTTTACAAGCAAAGCACACTAAGTCCAATTATTTTAATTTTGATTTATTTATACCATTTGACTAGATTTCTTCCAGAATATAGATCTATATCCAGAAAAAAATCTACTATACCTCCTAAGAATTATTAGTTTAATTTTTAAATTACTTTTATATTAATTAAGTCCATAATGGCGCTAATTAGTTCATTAAAAATGCATCAAAAATGTATTCGTTTTTTGACTTAGTGTATTTTGCTTGTAACCCGACGATTTTATCATTGTCAAATGTAATTTGTTGCGCTGTCTACACTACTGCGTTATGCCTATGCTTAATGTCCCTGAAATAAATTTTTGTAATTTAAAACTGGTTCGAAAGCCTAATGTTTAGAAAATACAATTTGACATCCACAAAATCATAGGATGACAACTTAAGGTATGTTGGCATTTGCCCGGTTTTGCATTGTTACCTGGTCAGTTTTAATTTAAAAATAAATGCAGTTTTTCTTAAATTACTTAAAATCGGCTTTTCCAAAATTGTCCAAATTTGACATGTGTATTCAGCATCCGCAGACCTTTAAAAAACATATTAACAAGGCAGCCAATATTAGGACAGTTCAAAATTTGCATGGGATTTCCTGTTTCCAACGACGATGCACCACCTGGTATAAGAGTTATGTCTACATAAATATATGCTTAAGTCTATTCAACGATCAACAAGTGAATATAATTATGACAGTGACAGTTGTATGTCATTTTAATTCAAAATAAACTTATTTTTCTGATTGTCATCTGTCGAAATTGTGCCTTCTCTCACTAAAGAGACAAAAAAATTCAAATACATAAAAAATATGACAAGCAAAATATCCCAATATTCCGATTACAAAATAACACTGTATGCCAAAAACAAACACGAATACATGAATATGTAAAAATTTAAATTTCTTTTACTGATATCACAACATTCACAACCTTAAATCTTAGTACTAAAGACAAGAACTACTAAGTTAACATCTACATATACTTTTAGGCATGAATAATATTTTATAGAATATATAAAATAAATTACAATACTTACTTGTAGATGTGTATCTCTATGTCCTGTTTTACCATAAGATGAATTCTTTGTTAGGTACTTTCTAATACTTTTTAAAATTTCAATCTCTGATTCAGATTCACCTTGCATCATATCTTTCGGTTCGAAATACACCAGCTTAGAAAGAGTACCTCCTATATCCATACCAAACCAAGGCATTGCTAAAAAGATACGCATTATGTTGCACAAAAAAAATATGTTTACTTCATTAACTCCTTACTCGAATTTACAGAAGTCATTGGTACTATATTTCTATCCAACATTTGTAGAAAACTTATGTATTAAAACAAATAATTAATATAGTTTTTTTTTTGTAAACTGTAGACTATTATCAATTATTTTTTTTGATAAAGATATGGTATTTTAATCTAAAAATATCATTTATCTAGCTTTAAGATATGAAGTACTCATTATAATATTTTGAAATAAAATTTAACATTGACCTTAAAAAGGACTCATTATTTTGTTACGTTAGGGATTAAAAAAATGGCATTTAATATTTTCGTCAACAAAATCATATAAAACATAAATTACAGTTAATTATATGTATTCCCCTCCATATAGTTTCCTAACCAATAAACCACAATACTATCCGATTTTTTTATCAAATACTAATTACAATTGAATAATATAAATGCACTTCTATAAATACTGAATACCACAAATACACTACTTAACCAATCATTAGTAAACCAAAATTTATAAATTACTTGTATTTAAAAAACTCTATTCATGGTACGAACACAACACGAATTAATGAAATTTAATGTATAGATAAATTATGTAAACTGTACGGTCAAAGATTTTTTTGTTTGTGACCTTTTTAAAGATCAAAGATAATCTTCATAATGAAAGAATATGGATATTCGTATTTCAGCAATTGAAAATTTAGGAAAAACTTTAATATGCAAATTTAAAAACTTACCTGGATTATAAACATCACTATTGTTGAACCCATTTGCCTCTCCATTAATGTCCTGCTCCATGGATTGATTAGATTTACCTGCTTGAGGTTCTTGGGACATTTTGTTAGCAAGAATAGATTGTAAGCACCCTTTACAATTGTGTGGAGCCATTCTTAACTTCAAAGGTAGTCATGAATGAATAAAAAATACGAATTTTAATAATAGGTAGATCTCATCAAGATTTTTTTTTAAATGAAAAGAAAGTCTTAACTGGTAAATCTGTTGACAATCGTTATATTATTTTAGAATTATTAAAAACAGTTCTCCAAATTCTAAATAAAATAACAATATATTGTAATTATTTGCCAAATCACCAAAAGTGATATATTACAAATAAAGCATAATCAAATCCTCAGACAAGTAATTTACTTATTTGTCTATGTAAGATATCCATTTCACACATACAACAAATTAAATTCAAGTATTTAACCTTGACCTCATAAACAATTTACCAATTCAAGCTTATGTAATAACATATAACTAACAGTAATAATTCTTTACCTGAAGACATTTTAAAAAATTCCAGTTTTATAAAAAACTTCTCTGTGAAAAATTTACTATTCCTAATCGGTATAACAGACGAGATATAACATATAAAATGTTATACAAAGATTATCTATTTAACACGTTTATAGGTGTTTCTAGATCTTCAAGATTAAAGTCCATGCCTATAATTTATTACATGAACATGAAAATAAAACGTAATATCTTGGCTATAACGGGCTATAACTACGAAGGGGTTATAGTTATAACTCAATAACAAATTTCATGAAATTTTAATATCACAGTTAATGCTGTAGCTCCATAATACAAAGAATACAAGGTATGATCACAGAACAGATACAAATTTGTATCTGTTCTGTGGTATGATATTGCGCAGGTTGGTCACTACGTCACAGGTGATAAACGCCACCATTGGTCGGCAAGCTATGCGCGCCAATTTCAAATTGTCAAACAGATTGTGTCATCTGTGAAATTTGAATGTGTCAAAATGTGAAAATAATTTTTCAAATGCAAATACGTTAAAACGTATTTGTTCAAATGTCAAGCGCGATGATTTGACATAACTTTTGGGGTTATGTCCTAATTCTTCCCTATTTTAGGTCTTTTTTTATTAGTGGCAATTGAACAATATGGATATTTTTTTGTATGGCGTATGACGTCACAGGTGGTATGCGCAAACTTAACGAATTTGGAGCCGCTATCGATCATACCTTGTTCTTTGTACCATGATGTAGCTCTATAATCATCTCTATACCAACTACTGCAAGAACGACACGCAGAGTTCGGAAAACTACATGTTACTTTTAAAAATTACATAAACTACATTACATGCAGTTTATGTAGAGGATGTAGTTTATGTAACCTATGTATGTAACTATCAAATATCAAAGGTTTGAGGTGAGGTTATAGTAAGTTGAAGCTTTAAAAAACACAATGTATTTAAGAAAATAGAAGAAATATGGCTTTGAATATAATATTCTGTTATCGACGCCTATGATCCTTGCGAGGAGGCAGTCAACGTCACGCCGTCTCCGTGCCTGGCACCCCGTGCCGGCGAATGTTTTGGAGTAGCGGAGTGAAGAGTAGGCTGGGGAAAAAAGAATTGAATGTCGGAACTTGTTGGTTTTCGAGCGTCGGAATCAGTTGTTGTAAAAATCAGTTAGATTAGATTTAAAATATAATAATTTCTGTTAAATACATTAAAAATATCACAATTTCTATAAAATATATAATAATTTCGATTACAATTCACACATCATATTATTTTGACCTCTCATACAAAGCAAAATTATTCATAATATTAATACATAGTTTATTAACGTAGTTTTCATGTAGTTAATGAACGGGAAAAGACGTAGTTTTTGAAGAAAAACTACACGTAGTTAATCAGGTAAATTACGTATAAATTAACTACTTCCGAACCCTGAGGTGCAGCCACACTATCCTAAAAACGGCGTATCGGCGTAACGGCGTAATGACCTTGAATAGATTTCCAGTAATTCTATTGGCTGAAACATTCATCTGTCAGAAATTTTATCTATTAAATTCATCTTTCTAGAACAAATCTGAAGTTGTCTCTGAAACTGAAATCTGTCAATGTCACCTAAATCTGTCACCAAAGTTAGACCGCCGATCAGATTTTGGCCTCTATCTTTGTTCACTGGAGAATACTTGTCGTGAGGAGAATGACAGGAATGACACTAATGACTGTTTCCAATTTTCCTATTTCACTGTCACCCCCCTGATGTAACCTATGTATGTAACTTTCAAATATCAAAGGTTTGAGGTGAGGTTATAATAAGTTGAAGTTTTAAAAATTTAAGAAAACAGAAGAAATATGGCTTTAAATATAATATTTACATCATATTATCTCTATTACACCTCATACAAAGGAAAATTATTCCTAATATCAATACATAGTTTATTAACGTAGTTTTCATGTAGTTAATGAACGGGAAAAGACGTAGTTTTTGAAGAAAAACTACACGTAGTTAGGTAAATTACGTCTTAATTAACTACTTCCGAACCCTGCACACGGCACAGCCAACGGTACCAAACCAAATCGACCAAAGACTTTTAAACTGGTTTAAACTTTTTGAACGGTCCTTGTTTGAACGGGACCTATAGAATGCTAAGAGAATGCTATAGAACAAAATAAAAATCCTTTAAATCACGGAGCAATAAGAGAGGGGAGCCGCCAGGAGCCGCTATAGGCAGGGCCGGCGGAATAAAAATATTGAGACCGGGCGAGTACCCTATCTGGCGCCCCCCTCCTTAACAGTTATTATAACTCTCTTTTTCCTTCAGTCCTATATTTTAACTACAAACTAAGCATATTTATGCTACTTTAACAATACATTTTCCCTTAAAGATACTTCAAAATTCTTCTCTTCGTTCAATCTTAGTCTGCGATTGTTCTTTTTTCTACACCGGTCTCGAAAGTGACTGAGGGAACGACCGTTACGACAGAAACAACCTATCTATCGCTCGTGTCGCACTCGTTATAACCTAAAACAATAACACAACAATAACAAGACATCGTCTGACCGCATGTTCCAGCTATTTATGAATGAGATGCTCAGTCTATATTTTATTTTAAGCCTATGAGACTAACAATGAGGTTTCTACGCATTTTAACCAATGAGAAACATGCTGACTAGTCAGGGATTCTTCTGAGAACAGAAGGACCTTATATTAGCTCAAGGCAAATTTTAATCATTGTGCGCGTTCGGGGAACACAGCGGCTGACCGACCGCTGAGACTTTTGCTTTTTGCTAGCGGCTGACTGTTTTTGTGTGTAAAAAGAGACCGTTTAGGGAAGTCGCTTACTCAGCCCAGAGACTCAGCCACTCCACTCAGCCGCTGACTGTCCCTGAACGCGCCCATTGTTTACTTTTATTATTTGAAATTTTATCATAATCCGGTCACAGATCCGGTCCTGTGCAATAAGTACTTTTTTGCCCCGCCCCCTGATAGTCTTGATACTGTTTTTATCCTACAAAAATACGTATAGTAGCGTCTCCCCTGTCTTATTCCTCCTTGAGGGTGCAGCCAAAGAATATACCTAGCTAGAAAAAGAATGGACTCTGCCATACTGAAAAATGATCCTACAGAAGTGGCGCCATCTATTGAGTAGGGCTCGTTTTAAACGGATCGAAGCGCGGGCTTTTTAAATGAGCGTATTTATTGAATTTTACTCTAAAATAATTAAATTTGATTATTAAATCTTATTTTTTACACAAATTCAACAATACTAATAACAAGTATCGTTGTGATGTGTAAAAAATAAGATTTAACAGTATAATTTATACAATTATTAAATGAAATTAAAGCCAAACATGTGCCAAAGTTTTTATTTACAAGTCAAATATCATGTCAAATATTTAAACATCGTTTATTATAATAAAACAAGACCAACGTAATACGCTCAAAGTTTTGTAAATGGAGTAAATATAAATAGGCACTTAAAAGATGGCAAAAACAAAAGACTTACATTATATTTTTAGGGCCACAAACAAAAGGAATTGTCTACTTAAAACACATATAACAAATTATAGTTTGAAAAACGTTTTGATAATCATTTGATAATATTGTGATTGGCGCTATGACAACGACAATATTTTTTGAGAATTTGATAATAGTATGACAATGGCCGTTCGAAACAATGGAAACTACAAAAAAATCTCATTTAACGCCATCTGGCAATAACTAGTAGCAACTTCTTAACCTAAAAATTAATTGCACTACCACCTAGCGCCTGAGGCTGGAACTATTTTATTTGAAATTTCCGTGGAAACGGTGGAACCGCTTTTGCTATTTCACTTCCCCGCCCCTGGGTGCAGCCCTTTGAATAAGAAGACTAAGGAAGGAGCATAATGCTATCCATGTATTCATGCATGGTGGGCGGAAAAGCCACCATAAAAGCTCTCTAGGGTGGGGATCCTTGACAGTTCTGTTTGACGATTCATTTGACACATTTGAATTTGATTTGAAATTTTGTGGATTTGTCAGTCTTTACGGAGCTTATTTTATGTTATTTATTATTTATTCTACTACTGATAGTTGTATAAAGGTAGTAAATCTAGATGGAAATTGTGGCAGAACTTAAATTAACAGTGACACTATCGCGATTTATCGAAAAAGACTCTAAAATAGTTGGTTGTGTAGCGTGCGGTAGATCTCGGCAAAAATCGAGTGAAATAATGAACAACTTTTCGCTAGTAAGTGACTATATAATATACATACGTGTAGTAAACCGATCATTTATGAAATTCACTTAAATTAATTAAATTATATATTTTTCTTGCATTTGAGCTTTTATTTATTACTTGTCAAAGATTAGATGTCAAAGAATTTAGATACGTTAATTTGACTTACCTGCTTCAGTAGCGTATCAGATGTTTGTGTTAATAAATACTTATTATAACTTATCTATTTTTATTAGAAATATATATTTTTATAACAATTTTAATAACTACCAACATTTATTCACAACGTAAAATAAAACAACAAATTATTGAGTCTACCCCACGTCTACCCTACATCATAGTTTTACATTTTTTAAATAAAACTAGAACGACACTGATAAACCGGAATTTAAGTCGGCCATATTTGAGGCCCATCGCGGTGTACCTAAGATTTTTAATATGCTCCTTCCTTAGTCTTCTTATTCAAAGGTGCAGCCACACTATCCTAAAAACGGCGTATTGGCGTAACGACCTTGAATCGATTTCCAGTAATTCTATTGGCTGAAATTTTTGACAGATGAATTTGACAGATAAAATTTCTGACAGATGAATTTTTCAGCCAATAGAATTACTGGAAATCAATTCAAGGTCGTTACGCCGTTTTCAGGATAGTGTGGCTGCGTGGCTGCACAGTGGACAACAGATGACAGCTATGGATGACAGTGTTGTGTGACAGTGATCGAGTGATCATAACCACACATCCTATAATAACAATTTGTACAAAAACAATTACTTCTCTGAATTACTTAAAGAGTATTAAATACATCGTAAAGATGTCTCAAACACATAAAAGGACTATATATGTAGGTGGTTTAGCAGATGAAGTGGACGAAAAGATATTGAAGGCAGCTTTTATTCCTTTTGGAGATATTGTAGACGTACAAATTCCATTAGATTACGAATCGGAGAAACACCGTGGATTCGCCTTCATTGAATTTGAAGCTGCTGAAGATGCAGCTGCTTCTATCGATAACATGAACGACTCAGAACTTTTTGGTAGAACCATACGTGTCAACTTGGCAAAGCCACAAAAAATTAAAGAAGGGTCAACTAGACCTGTCTGGTCTGAAGATTCATGGCTGCAAAAACATGCAGGGGAAACAATTAAAGATAGGATGATAGAAAATGACCAAATGAATGAAGAGATTGCTGAAACTACTGTAGAAAATACCACTTCAAAAAAAGTAAAAAACCCTCAAGTGTATTTAGACATTAAAATTGGGAAAACAGAAATTGGCCGAATAACTATAATGCTCAGGGAAGATATTGTTCCAAAAACTGCAGAAAATTTTCGTTGTTTGTGTACACATGAAAAAGGATATGGTTTTCAAGGTAGTACATTTCATAGAATAATTCCAGATTTTATGTGTCAGGGTGGCGATTTTACAAATAATAATGGAACTGGAGGAAAATCAATATATGGGCAAAAATTTTCCGATGAAAATTTTCAACTAAAACATACTGGCCCTGGTACATTATCTATGGCTAATTCAGGCCCTAATTCAAATGGCTCACAGTTTTTTATTTGTACAGCTAAAACTGATTGGTTAGATGGAAAACATGTAGTTTTTGGGCATGTAATAAGTGGAATGGACGTAGTGAAAAGAATTGAAAAATGTGGTACAAAGACTGGTAAACCTACCGATAAAGTAACCATATCAGCATGTGGTGAAATTCAATAAAAAACAAAAGTAATAATGTACAGCATGAGGAGAATAACATTCATTAAGAGAAAGTTGTATAAATATTTAATAAGTAAAAATTAATATGCATTTGACATGTACCTTTACTATATTTCAGTAACAATATATTTTTATTTCAAGACAAAATGTATTTCATTAAATTGACATGATTCTGGTTAAATATTTATTTAAAAAATGCTGCTAAAAATGTTTTTAAATAAAAATGTCACTCTTGCAAGAAATTGTATTGTTCATTAATATACTTTCTAGATCATAAATATGTTTGCAGTTTACACTTTTTTTGATAAATCATTAAAAACATAATTGTTCTGTTTTCAAAAACACTATATTTTTATTACAGTTTGTCCATAAAATGGGGTTGTCCATTTTTATCTCTTCTTTTGGTTAAAATGTCACATCCATTATCATTTACTAAGAGAGTATGTTCAAATTGAGCTGACCATTGACCATCTGCAGTCACAGCAGTCCATTTATCTGGCCACATTTCATCTCTCCAAGTTCCCATCGAAATCATTGGCTCTATAGTAAAACAATGTCCAGGTTTAATGACACCAACAGCCCTGTTTTCTGAAACCCGTAAAAAATGTTTTTAAATATAGTCAAATTGAAACAATAATCAATTAAAGCTATATTCTGAATACTGATTGCACTCACTTGCATAATGAGGGACGTTAGGTGTTGTATGAAATAATCTATGTATTCCATGACCACAATAACTTCTAACCACTGAAAACCCATGACTTTGTGCATGTTTCTGAATAATGTTGCCAATTTCCCTATATTTTTCACCTGGTTTTACAATTTCAATGGCTTTCATTAAACATTCGTGTGTCACTTTTACAAGATTTTTTACTTTTTCATTCACATTACCCACAAAAAATGTTTCATTTAAATCACCATGAAAGCCTCTATGGTAAACAGTAATATCTACATTACAAATATCACCATCTTCCAAAGGTCTTGTATCTGGTATACCATGGCAAATAACTTCATTTACTGAAGTACAACAAGATGCTGGAAATTCATAATAATTCAATGGTGATGGATAACATTCTTTATCAATACAAGCTTCATGAACAATTCTGTCTATTTCATCTGTTGTTACTCCAACATCACAAGCTCTAGCAGCTTCATCCAACACCTCCCTTCCTAGTTTACATGCTACTTTCATACCTAAAAACCACATTTCAACATAAACTTCTGGATGACTCACCCATTTTTATACTAAAATGTTTTGGATAAGAAAATATCTCAAAAATGTTACATTACGTTAATGCTAATCACTGGACTAGTAGGGTATATTGAAAAAATACTACTAGTTTCACACAATTATTATATATGCATGTTACATCAATATGATTATCTAATTAAGGCTTTTTCATAATATTATAAATTTATGTTTTGATAATTTTTCCAGTGGGGAAATACCAAGAGAATTTGTCTGAAGAAATAAACAATGTAATTTATATACCTTCTATTTCCTCATCGTCTAACACTTTAATTAAGCCAGAGCCTTTCACAGCCTGTTCACTTAACGGATATCCCTGTGGATGATCAGCATAATCAGGTCGACCAATGGTCAAAGGTACTGTACGTTTTGAACTCTGAGGGTAAGGTCTAAGCTTGCCAGTATAACTATAATAAGGCCATGGATTGTATGATTTGTCCTTCTGCTCATTACATTCACCCTCTGATAAAAAAAATTAATGACAATAACAAATAATTCACTGCTGATTAAATATAATATTGATGAGCGAATAGAATTAAGTATATACATAAATATAATAGCTTAGTATTATCATTTCTAAATGAATGCAACGTCTTAACTGCGCTTCATATTCAAAGCTTAGGAACTAATAGGGTCAGAGATAGGGTGTCCGAGCTTTCAGTATGAGTAAGGAAAAGTCTAGTTTCCATGGATTTTATAAAAAAAAATACTTGAAAACTTTTTATAATAATAATATTGTTTAACAAATTACCAAAAAGATATACGAAAACTTTATGAAAATAATATTTGAACATGTTAAAATGACTTTTCTCGTTTTATATTTCATACATACCTAACCTTACTTACTAGCTAAAGAATGAATAACTTTATGAGACTTCCAATTTGTTTTGAAACATTCTTGGGAACAAAAAAATGATCCAGGAATCCCCAGTTTTATACATGTTGGGCACTGCAGCTTTGCCGTATTCTCACAATCAGGAGAATCACACTTACTTCCAGAATTCATACCTAATACTTGCAGATACCTACTTGTGTTTTTTTTCAAGTAAATTTTAAAAAGAATTTACCATAAAAAGTGTGCAAAAATATTGACATATAAATGCCACAGACAAATGTTGCAAAGATAAATCATAGATATAGGTGGGTAGGGTAAAAAATCACTGTGGTAGCACGGTGGTATAAGCGTAATGAGCTTCGACTATGGAGGGCAGGGTTCGGAAGTAACTTTAAGACGTAATTTACCTGATTAACTACGTGTAGTTTTTCTTCAAAAACTACGTCTATTCCCGTTCATTAACTACATGACATCTACGTGAACAAACTATGTATTGATAAAGCCATATTTCTTCTGTTTTCTAAAATACATTATGTGTTTTTATAGCTTCAACTTATTATAACCTCACCTCAAACCTCTGATATTTGAAAGTTACATACATAGGTTACATAAACTACACCCTCTACATAAACTACATTAACTCAACATTAACCACATGTAATGTAGTTTATGTAGTTTTTAAAAGTAACATGTAGTTTTCCGAACCCTGATGGAGGGTAGAGGTAAGGGAAAATATTTCCTTAAGGGACTCTATTTGAAAAAGTGGTCACCACTCACCACCTATGGTCACCCGGTCACCACAATAGCTCTTTGAGAATAGAAAGAATAAGAGTTTGCTATACTCTGTTTTTTTTCTCAGGTAAGATTTCGACAGACGATGACAGAAGAAAAGCAGATGACGTCCCATACCAATCTATTTATTTTACTAAAAAAAGTTTCTAATTATTTTTAAGTTATCTATGGATGGGTTTAAATATAAATCCGTCATGCGTCGTGTCTTGTTGTTTTTAACCAGTCCCTGGTAGCCGCCATGTTTGAAGCTTAGTTTACAGAAGGGTATATTACTGGTTACTCTACATTTTAAGAATGGAAGTCACCCCAAGTCCAAGAGTAGATAAGACTATCTATCTAGATTAGTCTTACCGGTAATCAGGGTTCGGAAAACTGCATGCTACTTTTAAAAACTACATAAACTACATTACATGTAGTTAATGTAGTTTATGTAAGGTGTAGTTTATGTGACTTTATGTATGTAACTTTCAAATATCAAGGTTGGTGAAGTCATAATAAGTTGAGCTTTAAAACTGAGTAATATTTAAAAAGCAGAAGAAATCTGACTTCGTTGGACAGACTATATTATATTTGCTATTCACTAAATACCTGACCACAGTGGCGCCACAGGTGGCGCTAACAAGAACAAGCAATAAGCCCTCCGCAAATACGTTTAAATAAATTTTTCTTTATTTTAAACGTATTTGGCCCTCCGTAATCCAGGAACATCAGAGGAACATCCCTGGTAGCCGCCATGTTTAGGCTTAGTTTACAGGGTATATTACTGGTTACTCTACATTTTAAGAATGGAAGTCTACCCCAAGTCAAAGAGTAGATAAGACTATCTATCTAGATTAGTCTTACCGGTAATGGTGTGGATCTCGTGGCTGACCTTGAAACGAGTTTCTGCTGCATATAGCCACAGACACTTATTCAAGATTATTTTGGAATTATTTTCAGTAGAAAACAAATATGTGCTTTTCAGTGTTTTTTGTCAATATATACCGTATGATCGAAAAAACGGCGTCCAGTTGGCTGGGAAATGACGATTGAGGACATTTCCCATATAAAATGACAGCGATCTTCATTTCATAGTCATCGCTGACGCTATTTTTTTTTCAATCATAGTACGCGGTATATTATTTATATCAAGAATTTATATATTATTTTAATATTTCGCACAACACGTGAACGCTTATTATGTATTTTCATAGTCAATAAAATTAAATAGAAATAAAACTCTAGATTCCTATAATTAATCTAATTACTCTAGATTATTATGCTACGTTTAAAAAGGGCTTTATTAAAAATTCGGGAAATTATATGTCCAAGTTCTTCCTTTTTTTTAATTTTTAAATGCTGTAGCTCCATGTCATGTTCATAATAGGTTTTCTGCTACTTTAAGATTTCTCTATTCTTACACCTAATTTATGTGATTTTCTTAGCTATAATATGATTTATAAACCATATTTTTCCTAATGGAAGGATGGAATAGGATATGCAAAATTAAGATATTTTAACATTTATTTTCCAGACAAAGCATAAGATTAAGACATAATAAATATTATAAGAAAGATCTTAATATAAATCACAAACTAAGTCTTAATTTGGTCTTGTATAAACACAGGTATAAAACTAATAAGATCAAAACTCAACCTTCACCATATTGTCAAGATTTGGCATTATAGGAAACAAGAAATTGCAGTAAATTAAGAAAAGAATATCAAAGTACACGATATTAAATACTGTAATGTATTCTACGATACAAACCATCTCCCTTCTAAAGAGAAAAAGATAAAACATAAAGCTTATTTTAGTCTTATCAACACTCTTCGATAAAATATATGTCTAAAATTGCTATTAATCCACTAACTTGATATTTTTAAGAAATTATATGATACAAACATTACAATCAAAGTATATTATATTAGTAACATTATAGGTAAAATATGTTACCTCTATCTCCCATTGACGTGTATTGTTCTATAAGACTCGTCATGGTAATATTTCAAAACATCAATATACATAATATAATGAAAACTATTGTTGCCTGTAAATAACTAGAAATTAAATAACTTGAAAGAAATAAAATAATTCTAATAAGTTTAAAACCATTAGAAAAAATCCGTAAATGATAATTTTTAATTCTAATGTAAATATATAAATAAATGTTATTATTATTCAACCACTTCCATATCTCTGTTATTATTACGTACAATTTTATATATTCATAATACTTTCATTTCACAATCTTCATTATCCTTCTTACCTTAATTTTGGATATCAAGATAAATCTGAAATTATAAAATTAATTATAGAATTTGTATTATTATTGATTAACACTCAAAAAAAAAATTCAACTGCAAATAATTCGAAAATAAACTGCAATTTGGCAACATCGACGATGTGCGCTTGCGTAGTATCGATGATCAAATGCTGCAAATATGGCCTTCAAGGTCAGCCACCGGATCCACACCTTTACCGTCTTAGTCTTAACTCCTGCCCGGCTGAAGGTGTGGGCCCGAAATATTTGCTGCTGATCACGAAAAGTTCGTTAGCACATGTTCCGGCCAAACCCAGTATGTGTAGGACGCAGGTAATTTTTGCGTGTTAATCAATAATAACTAAATTCTAATTTCAGAACGAAATTTCGGGAACAATATGCGGACAGCAGTTCGTCTGTATCAAACTAGTTTTGATTTGAACGATCTCAAATCGGAAATGAAAGTATTATAATATATAAAATTGTAATAATAATAACATTTATTTATATGTTTACATTAGAATTAAAATTTATCATTTACGGATTTTTTCTTAATGGTTTTAAACTTATTAGAATTATTTTATTTCTTTCAAGTTATTTAATTTCTAGTTATTTACAGGCAACAATATTTTTGATTATATGCATGTATTGATGTTTTGAAGTACTACCATGACGGGTCTTATTATAGAACAATAAACGTCAATCGGAGATAGAGGTAACATTTTACCTATTATATAATGTTACTATGTAATATAATATACTTTGATTATAATTAATGTTTGTATCATAATTTCTTAAAAATATCAAGCATAGATATCAAGTTAGTGGATTTTATCGAAGAGTGTGTTGATAAGACTAAAATAAGCTTTATGTTTTATCTTTTTCTCTTTAGAAGGGAGATGGCTTGTATCGTAAAATACATTACAGTATTTAATATCGTATACTTTGTTATTCTTTTCTTAATTTACTGTAATTTCTTGTTTCCTATAATGCCAAATCTTGACAATATGGTGAAGGTTGAGTTTTGATCTTATTAGTTTTATAAGAATAATATAATAATAATAGAAATACAAGACTAAATTAAGACTTAGTTTGTGATTTATATTAAGATCTTTCTTATAATATTTGTTATGTCTTCATCTTAATACTATATTATGCTTGGTCTGGAATTTAAGTTGTTTAAATAATGTTAAAATATCTTAATTTTGCATATCCTATTCATCCTTCCATTAGGAAAAATATAGTTTATAAATCATATATGCTAAGAAAATCACATAAATTAGGTGTAAGAATAGAGAAATCTTAATGCAACAGAAAAATTAATGCAATATATGTATAAGCAGAATTAAACAAGGTAACTGTTAATGTTGCTGAAGCTGATTCGACAATTTTAATTACGGAGGCTAAAAGGCCTTTTAAGGCCTCCGTAGTTTTGATGGAATGTTAAAAAAAATCTATTATGAACATGACATGGAGCTACAGCATTTAAAAATTAAAAAAAAAGAAAAAATTTGGACACATCCCTTTTAATTTCCCGAATTTTTAATAAAGCACTTTTTAAACGTAGCATAATAATCTAGATAGGAATCTAGAGTTTTATTTCTATATAATTTTATTGACTGAAAATACATAATAAGCGTTCACGTGTTGTGCGAAATATTAAAATAATATACCGCGTACTATGATTGAAAAAAAAATAGCGTCAGCAATGACTATGAAATGAAGATCGCTGTCATTTTATGGAAATGTCCTCAATCGTCATTTCCCAGACAACTGGACGCCGTTTTTTCGACCATACGGTATATATTGACAAAAAAAACACTGAAAAGCACATATTTGTTTTCTACTGAAAATAATTCCAAAATAATTCACAATCTGGCAACATCGAAGATGTGCGCATGCGTAGTGTCTGTGACTATATGCAGCAAAAACTCGTTTCAAGGTCAGCCACCGGATCCACACCATTACCCTTTGCCCAAGTTGGGTCTGGTTGGGTCTACCCGTCTACTCTCCTTAGTTTCTTAAAATTCTGATCATCATATATAATACCTATTATATGACGACCATGTCCTGTGGTCATCAGATCCATAGATCTGTGGCCCAAAATAACCTTACTTTAGTGGTTCAGATATTTTATGGTTCAGATTTTCTTCAGAAAAATTATTGAGAAATAGATAACAGAGCTAATATTAAAATTAATTAATTTAATAAATTAATAAGATAAACATGGATAATCATTGGAATTATAATCAACAATATTCACAAGTCCCTGTACAAGAATCGCAACCAAATCAATTTAATCAAATGCCTGTACAAGGCATGCAGACTGAATATTTTTATACAAATCATTGGAATCAAAATTGGGGAACTGGGGCTATTCCTAATTATACATCTATTCCACCACCTTATTCCCCAGTTGGTGTAAATCCTTATAGCATTCCACCGCCTAATATACCACCTCCAACTACTTCCTACTTGTAAGTTTTTTTGGCGTTTGCACAGTTTCTATGTCTATTGATAAATTATTTTTTTCAAGTCCTTGCATCAATAACCCTTCGATATGCCATGTTAATTCTAATAAAGATGTAGAAGAATACAGAGTTAAAAGAGAAACATATAGTTATGAAAATTGTAATTCCTTGGTAAATATTGCATTTGTGATATTTTATCAAGTATTTTTTTTATTTTCGTTTTTATTTCTAGTCTTACTCGAGATCCATTACTACCAGAAGTGTCAACAATTCATATTCTGAAAGACCAAATGCTAGAATTGAAGATATAACAATTTTTAATGAAAACCGTCCTACCAATGCAAATCTCAATAATATTACAAGTCAAGAAAATATATATAAAAGTCAAGATCCAGCTGTTAGAATTAGAGTTCAAGATAGTCAGACTAGAGCTCAAGAGACTAAAACTAGAGATCAGGATAGAAGATATAGAGAAAGTAGAACAAAAGATCGAGAAAGCACTAGGGATAGAGAAAGCAGAATAAGGAGTAGGAGTAGAAGTAGAAGTAGATATAGGAGTAGAAGTAGACATAGGAGTAGTAGTAAATATAGAGATGACAGTAGAGAAAGGAATAATTATAGAAGATACAGAACAGTATATAAAGAGGATAGATCTACAAAACATTATAGTGATAGATACAATACATCAAGGCCTCAAGATAAAAAAATACTTACGGAAAGAGATGAAATATTGGATCAGTGGAAAAGAAATTATTGTAATACTGAGCAACAGATTAGTGAAAAATTGGAAATGTATAATAAAAAAACTGAAGATATTTTAAATACAGAAAAAAATATTTGGATCCGATCTACACCTTCAGAATTATATTATGAAAGGGATATAAATGATTACAAAAACATTAGAGCTACATCTAAACTTATTAACCTCTGTGATACATTTAAAGACACTTTAGTTAACAGGGCTTTGAAAGTTAATTCTTTAAAGCCAAAATATACCCCGCCACCCAGAAAAAATCGTGCCAGACTTTGTAAACATAAAACAGAAGTAAGTAGTTCGGATTCTGATAGTTCAGAGATTGATCTGACAGATGAAGAAGATTATTCCATTGAAGAACTACAAATAAAGCAGCGACATCCAGATCGTTTACATCAAGAAATGTGGTATAATGACTCTGGAGAAATGAATGATGGCCCATTATGCAGATGTTCCCATAAATCAAAAAAGTCTGGCATCAGACATGGTATTTACCCTGGAGAGACTCCAATAATGAAATGTGATATTAATAGTAATAATTCAGAGAAGTTGTATCACTATAGAATTATTATTTCACCTCCGACAAACTTTTTAATAAAGGCTCCTACTATTATCCAGTATGATGAACATGAATTTATATTTGAGGGATTTTCAATATTTTCTCACTCTCCTTTAGTAAAATTACCTCCATGCAAAGTTATCAGGTTTAATATCGAATATACAATTCTATATTATGAAGAGAAAATTCCTGATAATTTTACAGTGTGTGAACTTGATCTCTTTACAGATTTTCTTTTTAAAGAAATTTTAGAATTAGTCGATTTAGATTTAACTACACCTTTAGACAATAAATATTGTTCCCAATATCATTTCATGCCACGATTTGTTAGAGAGATACCAGATAATGGTAAAGAAATTTTATGTATGCAGGAAGTTTTACAGTATTTATTGAAAAGTTCAGTACCATTAATAGACCAGTCAGAATTAGGAAGTATGGTTAACATGTCTCAATATGAGTGGCAGAATTTTGCTGATGAATTAAAGGGCATGGTAGTTACATATCCTGGAAAAAAACCATCCTCGGTTAGAGTGGATCAATTAGATCGTAATATTGAACTACAAAAAGAAGGTGATTACAAATTTCCCGAAATTGTTCATTTTGGAATTCGACCGCCGCAACTAAGTTATGCTGGAAATCCAGATTACCAAAAAGCATGGCGAGAGTATGTTAAGTTTAGACATTTAATTGCAAACATGTCAAAACCAACTTTTGAAGATAAAAGAAAACTCGAAGCAAAAGAGAATAAACTTCAAGAGATGAGAACTCAAGGAAAAATGAAGAGAGATGTTACAGTTGCAGTGTCTGCAGAAGGCTTTTATAGAACAGGCATTATGTGTGACATAGTTCAGCATGCAATGCTGATACCTGTCTTAGTTTGTCATCTAAGATTTCATTATGCTTTAAATATACTGGAACAGTCAGTTGACTATAAATTTAAGAATCGTGGATTATTGCAACTAGCGCTGACTCATCCGTCATATAGAGAAAATTTTGGTACTAATCCAGACCATGCTAGAAATAGTTTAACCAACTGTGGTATTAGACAGCCAGAATATGGAGATAGAAGGATACATTACATGAATACTAGAAAAAGGGGTATTTTTTTAAATTCATATACAAATTTATGAATATACATACCTATATTGTTTGTTTTTTAGGGATAAATACTTTAATAAACATTATGTCGCGATTTGGTAAACAACGAGTGACTGAATCTAATATTAGACATAATGAACGTTTGGAATTTCTGGGTGATGCTGTTGTGGAGTTTTTGTCATCAATTCATTTATTTTTTTCCTTTCCTCATCTAGAAGAGGGAGGTCTAGCAACTTACAGGTAATAGATGCATTGTGGACAAACTTTTTATCATTTAATAACAAGAATGGTATTTAAGTCAGTACATATGCAAGGCATAAATCAGAATCTTCATTTGATAACTTTATCCAGTAAATTTTTATAATAGTTAACCAAACCATATACACGATATATATTTTTAGCCGACCATACCAATAGGATCGGAAAAAAAACGTTTTTTTTTAATTTCACCCAAAATGAATTATTTGGGTCATAAATGACCTAAATACAAAATATTTTCATGGTGTCTGTCTGTCTGTCTGTCCGTCTGTAACACGATAACTCAAAAACCGCTTAACCGATTTTAACCAAATTTGGCACAAAAATATTGTGGCACCCGAAAATGTGGCCATTAGTTTTTGGTGAGGGTGGGGGGTTGGTAAGGGGGTATGGGAGGGGGTTAAAAATTTTAAAAAATCGTAACTCCAAAATTACAGTAGCTAGCGAAACGCGGTTTTCAAATTAAGATTAGGAATAATATTTGCAACAAAATTTGTAATAACATCAAAATCAGTCAAAGTTGCAGTTTTTGAGATATTAACATATTTTAGTATGGGCGGCTATACGTGCCTCCCGGCGCCAATTTTTAAAAAAAATTATATTCTTTATGAAATTGGTTAATTTTTATACTCAACATGATAGCGTATTTAACTAGTTTAATAACAACTAAAAAGTACAATTCACTCCTCAAGACTTACTAGAATGTAGAATGAGTAAGAGGGGGAGTTAATCACTGCCACCTTAAAGATCTATTGTGCCCCCCTTCCTTGAGTCATCACACAATCTATAACCCATCATATCCCTGTTGTAGAAGGAACAGGGTATTTCCCATCTTCCTCTGACAACAGTTCTTTCTCCGAGGGTACACACCCTTCCACGGTTGGAGTTTGGCCCTCCGTTCAGCTCTTTACAGTCGAGGAGCTTGCCTCCGGCTGAGGAACCCGTGAGGTGGAGGCTGGAGGATCTGTCTCCCTTTTCTTCACCTCTTTAACTTGGTCTCCCCTTAGACCTGATACCGGTGTTATCCCATATCTATAATAGAGGAGATGTCCCTCTTTCTCTATTGCCTCCTTGGATTTGAGGTCAATTCCTATTTTGAGGACCTGACCATGACCCTCCTTCCTCGAGTTGATGACTCGCCAACTCGATGTCCTTACATTGAAGTTCTGACCTTGGATAAGGCTTAGCAGCTAGGTGGCGTCTTTGCCCTTGCTCCTCGGCAGAAAGACCGTTATGGCCGCCCCTTTAGGGATGTTTTCTCCCTTCACTGGGCCTTGCCAGTTTTTACGCTTCCGGCCCTTGCCAATTTTTACGCTTAGGTGCGATTTTCACCAACCAATTCGCCGATTCTTGAGATCTTGAGACACAATCTATGAGGATCATGCCCACCCGAAAGTGTATCCCCGCAAAACGCAGCTGACCCACATTTTGTAGATCGTTGTATTGCGATCTGATCGCCACTACTTCGTCAAGTATAGTCTCTTCTAGAGACGTTTGCTGGTCGGTGGTCAGAGCAACCTCTGGGAAATCCTTTGGCAGCACCGCCATTTTCACTTGTCCAGCAATAGCGGCAAAGCTGGTGATACGTCCCTGCTTGCCTCCCGGTGTTGGACGGCTTTCCATCCTGGCTTTTTTCTCCTCTGCCGGAGAAGAGGTGAGAGCTTGCCCTTTGATGGAGATGAGTCAGGTTTCTTGGTTTCTTTACTCTCCCCTTTTCGGAGGAGTGTTTTCACTTTTGCTTCCTCTGGAGCAAGTCCTTCGTGGAGAAGTCGGAGGTATCTCCGTGCTTCTGCTCCGCTAAGACCTACTCTCAGAGGATCGTCTAGCCCGCCTGGTCGACCTAGGCTGTGTAGACGAAACGGTAGCTTATGTCGCTTATTGGGTCTAGAGGTAGGCTCCCGACCCTTGCTGGAGAAGGTGGTAGCTTGTGTGCCACTTGTGGAGGATGATTCCAAGCAAGTGTCAGCCGCCCCTCCTGTAGTTTCCTTTGGATTTGGTCCCTTGGCACTTTCATTTGTAATGTTCCCAGTGTCACTAGGGGGATTCCCCACAGCTTCACCGGTGGTGTTTTAATACTAGATCTCATAGTGTTCCCAGAAGTCGCTAGGGATAGTCGGTCCACTTCTACAGAGCCCCGCATGCAGAAGTAAGGGGTAAATACAATGGGATGCCCCCTGATGCCCCAACAAGACTTACTAAAAAAACACAATAATAACAGGTGCTAGGTTTGGAAACTGAACATCCTTTTTTTTTCATAAGGTTTCATATTTTTCATATCCATGTAAGTAATATTCTGCAACAATGTTATTTGTGCATGTGGCTTCTACAGGGTTGTTCACCACTTGTTATGTAATTATCTAATTTTTGAGCGGAAATAATGGTGGTATATTTAATTGATACACCCTTTTACAAAGATTTAAATAGTTTTCTTTTTGTAAACAAATGGGCTTACAATATTATTAGTTTTACTACCTGTACATTTTGTACATATGTCGCTTTTAAAAAATCTAAAATGTCAATATTCCATGGGAATAGTGACAAATGAGGTCTAAATTATAAGAAAATGTATTTTCTACGAAAACTTGAAGAGATAGGTAGAAATGGTATAATACAATTTGATAGACAATTAAATTGCGTATCTCATTCACGTAAAATATACTGTCAAACCGATTGTAAGCACTGCTGTAAAACGGAACAACGTGAAGGCACTGTCATGATAAGGAGTTTTAAACTTGGAACCGATGAACAGTGGACGACGACACAATTGAGGAAAGATCAAATGGCAGATCCAGACATCGGAGCAATACTACGGCTCAAGGAAGGTAACGGTGAGAGACCACCGTGAAGCTCTCTGGGCTCAGTGGAATTCACTGGTTATTGAGAATGGATTGTTAAAGCGCACGTGGAAAGTGCTACGTTACTGGGTGGATTATTGCGAAGATGTCAAGAAATGGTGTCGACAATGTAAAATTTGTGCAGCCAGCCAAGGACCAAGCACTCGATCTAGGGGAAAAATGAAACAATATAACGTTGGACTGCCATTCGAAAGAATCGCTGTTGACATTGCAGGCCCGTTCCCTGAAACGCACAAGGGCAACAAATACGTTTTAGTGGCGATGGATTATTTCAGTAAATGGCCAGAAGTTTTTGCCATTCCAAACCAAGAAGCATCGACTGTAGCTGAAGTATTAGTCAATAATGTCTTCAGTAGATTTGGAATTCCTTTAGAGCTTCACACTGACCAAGGAAGGAACTTCGAGTCAAGACTGTTCCAGAAGATGTGTGATCTGCTTGGTATTCACAAGACTAGGACAACAGCTTTACATCCGCAGTCTGATGGGATGTCGAGAGATTCAATAAGACCATTGAAGAACATCTCTCGAAAATGGTGGATGAACATCAAAGAGATTGGGATCAGCATATACCACTATTCCTAATGGCATATAGAAGTGCAATTCACAACACCACCGGACTTTCACCATCGAAGATTTTATTTGGTCGAGAATTACGGTTGCCTTGTGACTTGGTGTTCGGATCACCAGACGACGGCACCACAAACGTAGAGGACTACGCGGATGAACTGAAGGAAAGGTTAATGAAAATTCATAAGACCGTTAAATGTAAGATTGCGCTAGCCAGTGATCGGATGAAAGCTCGTTACGACCTCAGAGTTAATTCTACGGGATTTCAACAGGACGATAGGGTATGGTTGTATAACCCACAGCGCAAGAAAGGAAGGTCACCAAAGTTAACTCCAGCATGGGAAGGTCCTTATACTGTCATCAAGAGGATAAATGATGTTGTGTACCGGATTCAACGCAGCCCTGGAAGTAAGATGAAAGTAGTTCATCTGGATCGATTGAAGAGATACCAGACAGGAAACCTTGATCGGGACGATCAAATTTGAAAAGGGGGCAATGTCAAGGTGTATTACTGGTTGCATAACTGCATACTGCTAAAAAATCGCAATGTGCCTTGAGGAACCTGGCGCATTCGCCAGAAAGTAAAGAAAATTATAGAATTCTTTAGAAAAATCTAGAAACAACCGCCAGGGGGTATATAAGGCCCGCGCTTTGACAGTTGGACAAGTTTAAGTTTGAAGTTTAAGTTTGAAGTTTAAGTTTGAAGTTTAAGTTTGAAGTTTAAGTTTGAAGTTTAAAGTTTGAAGTCTAAAGTTTGAAAATACCGCGAAATACCGTTAGGGTAATAGTAGTTGCATAAGTTGTGTTGTAAATAGTATAAGTTGTGTGTACAGAGTGAAACAAATAAATTCGTTAAGTATTTTATCTTGAGTTTAAATAGTGGACCCACGGAATCCGTAACAATATATTATTTGACAATACAGTATATTAAACATTAAATTTCTAAAAAATAATAGTTTATAAATAATTTTACCTATACACCTAAATATAACAACTTAAAATAACAAGAACTGGCAGTTCGACCAAGTCACCTTTTACACATTTTTTTTTCGATGGTATGGTACAAATAAAATTACTGAAGGTGTAAATACCATACAATAAAAAACCGTGATGTGGAGATGAAGATTGCTGTTTAGTGGAGTAAAAACGATATGAAAATGTGTGAAATTTTTTTTGGAGGTATAACTACATGATATCTATACAGGATTATCAGTTTTTTATTATCTTATCTTATTATCTTTGTGCATGTTGAAATCACTAATTACGACCTTTTTGGGGGGGTAAGAAATTTTTTATCCAGGAAAATGTCAAAAATCAGTCAATAATTTATAACCATGTTTTTTTTCTTTTTCTACGCGATAACTCCTAAACTAATCAACTTATTCACATACTCTTTTTTTTTAATCGATTGAGAACACATAGGCGGTGATAGCTGAAGCAATTAAAGTTCCATAGTGAGTGTATTTTTTTTGGAAAATGGATTAAACTTCAAACATTAACTTTATTGTATCATGATTTTCGGTAAGCGAGGAACTTTTTTATTTGAAGGAATTTTTCATA